TTATCAATTGAGCACTCTCAGACTCAGTTGTTGAATGTTCTCTTTGCTTCATTCTGGATTGTTTAAATTTTCATTAAAAAATAAAAATCTCGAATTTGCCTTTTGAATTCTTAAAATTCTCATTCCTTTGCCTTCTATGAGCATTTATCAATTACTCATTCTATTTTTGAGCTACTCAGATGGCTTTTGACCGCCCTTTACTCATTTATACAATACCACTGGTAATGTGTGATGAACTCACACTCTTCTTAATTATCAAAACTTATCTGTTTTACAGTGCATTAATATCGAAGGGATATTCATCAGAATAATATCAAGATCTATCGAATGAGAAAACACTGGTATATAAGCGGCTTTCCTTGAAGAATATCTGATTGTGGGTAAGCATAAGGAACTGACGCACCACGGGCTGAGTAAATAGAGTTATCTCTCCTTTAGAATGTAATAATCTAATCAAGCAACGAATCTTCGAATGGAAGCAGTTGGTAAAATCATAATTTAATTGTTACTATATTAATGCTCAATGACATAGACCGACAGTTGCTCTAGATCTATTGTAGTTGTCATTCTGGTTGTTGTTTTCAGTATCATAATGTTGTCCTTATCGTTATTGCTTTTAACAGAATTTCATTAATCAGTTTATTCCTATTACCGATAGTGTTATTACCTGTACTAAACATATTATTATTATTGTCAGAATTATTGTTCTTATTATTATTATTATTATTATTATTATTATTATTATTATTATCACTACTGTAGACATTATTATCGCTATCAGTGGAACTGAAACTTAACGAAAGTTTCTGATTATTTCACAGCAAGCAGATATTCGCTCAAGCCGATGAAGTGATGAATGATGCATGAGCATGTAGCAGGATGGATACGACGAGTGTGCTTGATTACAGATTCACACTTCATTTCGATTCGTTTGGGAATTATTTATTTATTTATGCGGTGGGAGTTATCTCTCCTTAAGTGGATGGGGTCAACCCCATCCACTTAATCAACTCGTAAACAATTATTTTGGTTCGATATGATGAAGAATTTTTTGATTATAGCAATATGAATCCAACAACCATATCAACAAATATAAATGTCCATGATTTTGAATGCGATTTCGAGTTTATTGCTCAGCTCACCAAGTCATCTATATCATTATCAGACTCATCCAGCGAGCTGCAGCCATCCAAATCATCTTCCTTTCAGTCAATAATCCGTTCATTAATAATAATTGTTCGTCAACTATGTTGTCGCCTAGCCAGAATCGTTATTCTCATCATTATTTTCGATTTTGATTGCACACTGACTGCATTCACTGTGTTCATTCATTTGTTCCCATAAGACTTCCTTGAAGACGACTCGCGAAGGTGTCTACTGCTTTTCTTAATGAATAATCACTAATAATTTGAAATTTTATTAAGGAACAATCGTTCATCAATCAATTCGTAATGCTTTTAAGTTAAGCAGTCTGATGGTTCTTATTCATTTCAGTTGTGTTAGATTTCAATTGTTTTCGTTTAATTTTAATCACGTATCATGATATTTCAGTTGTGTGAACATCGCAATTAGGCGTTTGACGATGAAAGGGCAAAAAAGTTATCTGGTGGGAAAGTTTTTTTGTCAAAAAAACCGGAAGTATCTACCTGCTCTTACATAAGTGAGTTGTGACCGATCGCCCACATTAAGAAACTATCGTGGTAAGAATGGGAATTTGCTTATGAGGTAGAGGAGACTCTGGTTATCCGGCCGATGCTATCATAAGATGCCATTCCATCGAAACTGAAAACCCAAATGCTGGAACTCGTTGTTCGGTATGAATCTCAATGATTTAGATGCAGTTCTTATGTCTAGTTTAGTCAGTCTCTATTGAATTTAATTTGAAAATCTTGGGAAATTCCTCATTTCGATGGACTCTATTCCTGTTGGGTCACTGATATAATTTCGTCACGAATAATCAAAACAATACCCGAATAGTCTACCAATTGATCACTGCTTGTCCAATGGCATGAACACGAATATTGTTTTCTAAGTTTAAATTTTCATAATTTTTTCCACCAAAATGGGTAATCGGATGTTTTTTGAGGAAGCTTCACAATTATATGCAAACAAACAAGATCAATTGTGTGAAACATACGCAATACATTCAAATACAAATGAAGACTAATTAATAGCTGCCACTGAAAGCGTTCTGAACAAAATTTTGTCAGCACTAACAGTCGGGACCATAAAAAATTGTTGTCAAAAAATTGAAAGATCATTGAAGACAAGTTTCGTGACAATCGAACGCTTACTTCGTCTGATATCCCAATTAAGGCGAATGATATTCATGACTAAAAATTGTATGAGTCATTCCGCTCAATTGAGAGTGCATTAGAAAAATTCAGTTGTTTTGTTCGAATAATTTACGAGTAGAGCTATAAAACAAAAGAAATGACGAAGTTAAGCAAAAATTTCAACGAATTAGAGGTTTGAAATGGACGATAAGCGCGTACAGTCTTGGAAATCAATGCAGATCTCGACTAATCAACGTTATTGAAGAGGCTTCTTGTGAGCCAAAAAATCTTTTTTCCTTCCAATTATTCTATCGGTTCCATTAATTGTCGTATTAATCGAGAGCAATTTTGCTTTAACTCTTCGGTTTGATTGACAGCATTACCATATAAATGCACAGTTGTGTGCACATGCTCAATTTTTAACCATGCATACACGATGGAAAAAGGTAATGTTTCTAGAGAGACACGTCAGTAGGTAGCTATTAGTGGATAAATTGAAGCATATAATTGAGAATGCTTCGAATTATTTCTAAATCTTGCTGAATTGTTTTCGTAGGAGACTTGCTGTCAGCATATCAATTATTACTGGAATTGCTATCATTATCGAATATCGTTTTTGCTGCTACTGTTGCTGCATAATCAGATATCATTNTTTTCGAGATATGCCGATTTTAAGAAATTTTCGAGAGATTTCTGAGCTTTTCAGATTTGTTTACTTTCAAAAAATTTCACTTTCGTGAGCATATTGAATCTTATCGAATGACAAATGAAATGCGCGTATTGAAGTGAACTGAAACGTGTGGAAAGCAGATAATTTGATTTGTTGAACGTTATCATCGGACAACACTCGGTTTTAATGATGAGATGCGCACTTCGTATTTTACGACACCTAATTTGTGCTCAACACAAAAGTGGATTGCCGAGTTGTTCGTATCGTTCATCCGCATTTTCATTTTCAATTTCACTCTCGATGTTCATTAAAAATTTATTCGCTCAGTCGCTCTTCACTCCCCACCTACTAATTTCCATATTTTCAAAATGATTCGCCGCATTATTCATGCGATTTTTGCTACCTACGCATTCGAGCAAACCAAAAACTCGTCATCGCAAGTGGAATTAAATTTCCACTTTTGTGATGATTACTTCGCATCGCTCGTAACTATTCCATATGATCTGAAGCAATCGTTCAGTACAACCAATATGATCTCATATATCACGCCGAAGCTTTTCACTTTCATAACAGGGTTGTTTTGTTTGTTTTTTTTTTCAACGCTAAAATCAAGTGGCTAGTTAGATTCAAGCTTATTCAAACTCTGTTCAACTCATCTTGGAACTGAGTGGTTATTTGAAGCTAACAGACTCTCCAGCCAAAGCAATTTTCACAAACTTTATTCTGTTATCTTTTCAGAAATATTCGAAAATGTGAGACACATTGTTGCGTTCATGT